GCCTGCAGAGCTGCTGCAGAAGGGGCAGAGAGAGGAGCAGCGTAAGTTTAAAACGCAGTTTCCTTTCGACGTGAAATCGGCCACAAACGTTCAAACGTGTTTGATTTCCTTCCTCGTTCAGCTCAAACCTTTTCAAAACAATTATTGTGAAGAAAAGAATGACTATGTTCAAATAGCCTGAGTGTATAGAGCTTTAGCTGCATAACTGGAACGTTATAATTGGAGTGAAATCATCAATAAAAGCCAACAAGGAAGCTGCAGCTGTATCAGTTGTATCAATCAATCCTTAGTTATTTATCTAATGTTTCTTGTGCTGATGGCTCAGCTGAATTGGCCGAAAGTCTTAAAAATACCGCAGCAAAATTTAAATCTATATAAATATTTTTGCACTGATTTACTCTTCTATCAAATAGTTACTTTGGACAGATATGCCTCCAATAAGCTGAAATATAAACCCGTCTTATGCAAACACGGCTCCTCGTAATGACAATTGTTAGCCACCAAATCTTTTTTTTTTAATCTATTAAACATATTTCACAAACATTTTACATTTTTGCATCTACCGCTTGGTGACTGTTATAAGTCAGGTTATTATTTAGTGAACTGTTCCTTGAAGTGTTTTTGTGATACAAGCTTCGTGACATTCAGGTGAATCCTCTCTCAGTGCTAGGTCAGCTGCTCCCCCTGCTGCACGGAAACCCCAACAGCGTCAAAGTCATCATCTCCGAGTTCCAGGAGTTTTATCGCCAGCAGAGCTCTTCCTCTTCCTCCTCGTCGTCACCGTCTAAGCTGCCCAGTCCTCCGAGCCCTCCAGAAAACGTCCCGTCCAGGTGAAGAGCAGCGTTGAACTACATTTTAAACGTCGGCGCTTTACCGGTAGTCGTTCTTGTTGACGTTTCCGTCTTTCTTCTCTCTCAGGATACAGCTGCGGCGCCTCATCAAGAGCAACGCCGTCTACGAGAAGCGCTCCTCCTTCAAGCGCTGCTGCTGGTACGTGCACGCCGACGTCCTGGCCCGCTTCGGCCAGGACGCTCTCCCAGTGCCCTGCAAGTGGACCTACCTCACCACCGGAGCCCGGGACGAGTCCCGCGAAGAGCCCCCGGCGGCCACGGGATCCCAGGGAAACTCTCCGACCACGCCCCAAGCTGCCTCCGCCGCCCAGTTGGCCTCCAGCAAGAGGAGGAGCGCCGGCAGCATGTCCATCACCAAGTTCATGAAGAGATGCAACGATCCTGAGCAGGCACGCCTCCGAAAAGCGAAAAGCTCCTGCCGCACGTTTTTTCTTCCCCCTGATGGGAAAACAATCTGTTAATGTGGCTTCATTGTTCTCTCTCAGGCCGAAGCGGCGGAGACGGACGGTTTCCAGGCTGACACTGAGGATGACTATGACGAAGATTGTGTCATTATCTCCACACAGAGTGGTGAGTTACCTGAGAGGAGCAGGAATATGTTTCAATTGTTTTGAAAATCAGGATTTTTCCAACAATGGCTTCCTTGGGTGTCCCAAGGCGGCCATCTTGTTTGACAAGCGTATTTTAAAGCTTCTATTTAAATACATTTTGAATTCAGGTCAACTCTATGACACAATATTAGAGTCAAGCTATGATTTTTTATTTATTTATTTTTAATTACGAGAACAGTCGAAATAAAAGAATAAAGTATTCATTTAATGAGAACTCCCAACACAAAAAATAATTAACATCAGGAATGTTGTGAAGTTATTGTTTTGGTTTAAGTTTACAGATAAAACTGTATAACTTGATGCTGATTTTAAAAGTGTTATCAGTTGCCAGACTTTTAGATGTTTGAGCAAACGACTTTGTTTCAAAGAAGGAACCACAGATTCTGAAGCTTTTTTCTCATTAAGTCAATTTTCTCCATTTTAAGACATTTTCTGGTAATATTGCATCTCTATTCTATTATTATGACTACATTCTTTGTAATTAAACAAAAAGTCTTTCTCACAGCGAGTGGAAGGGATGACAAAAAATAGTCACATTTTGAAAAATATTTTGTCATTTCTCTTTAAGAAAAAAAATAGGGAAAAAAAGAAATCAAACCTAGATCTGGTTTGAAAAAGAATGAAAGATTTTGTCACCCTGCCCTAGTAGGAACACCTGTGAGCGCTTCAGTTTTACACGTTTTCCAGTTACACCAAACTTGATCTGACTTTGCAGCTCCCAAGAAAGAGAAGCCCTCCAGACAGGAAGACTGTTCAATGGAAGTCGACGCGTCTGAAACCGCCGCGCTCTCCTCAGCCTGAGCCAATCACAGGCCGCGCTTCCTCTTTAGCTCTCCCTTCATGACTCATTATTCTGCATCCAAAGGGGACTCGAGTGTTCGAGCTGTGTGACCCGTCAAAGCCAGCAGAAGCCAGGCTGGGTGTTTTTGAAGTTCGCCTCTCCTGTTTCCCAACAAGGTGTCGCAGATGTTTAGAGAGTAAAAGTTGAGGATTGTGAAAAGAATCAAAGCAACTTATCAGAGTCTTATTACTAATGCCTGGGCCGAGGTGGAACAAGGGCAGAAATAAATGTTAAAAGAAGCGTTAAGAACACAAATAATCACGGTTTTTGAAACCACAAACCTGTTTTGTCTTGTTTTTGTTTTGCTTTTGGTCCAATTGTACATAGTTTATCAGAAGTTAGTGCTGGAAAACGAGGCTCCGGGTTCATCTGTACATTGTGATCTTACTGGTTTCATTCATGCTGCCTTCATTGGAAGGGTAGAGAGGTCTGTATGTGTACAGTTAGTTACAGTGTTGGTGTTTTATAAATATATGTATTTTCTGTATTTTCTCAAGAATACTTGAACAGGATAAATTCATTAAACATAAATAAAATTACTGCACCTTTTATATATATCTTTTCCTATTGTGTGCCAATTTTCTTTTGTTAAATTTACTAAATGATAAGTTCTGTCTAAAATTTAAAACTACAGTATGTAGCTTTCATAAACAATGTTTTATATTTGTTAAAACTCTTATGTCCTGTGACATAATCTGTGTGGGGGAAAAAAAGGGTCATACTGCAATTTGCAAAAATACACAGCTCCCTCAGAGAGGAGTGTCTTGGCGCTGTCAATCAAGCTCGGTTGCTCACACCCTTCCTCTTGCCCCTTTCTACACTTCGCACTCAATGGTCTCAAACTGCATTATTGGATGTGTTTGTTGGCCAACACACTTGAATTAATAGGCTAAACAAGCTCACTAGCACATTGTCAAACTAATGCTAATGTGCTAATATTGGAGCCAGGTGTGCTGAAGCAGAGACATGCAAAAGTTGTAGGACTGGAGTTTGAGACCACAGGGCTACAGCCAATTTCCCCACAACATAATCTGCCAGGAATGCTAATGCTAGTTAGCATGCCCACCAATGACGGAGGGTAAACGTTTTTTTTTTGGTTTTTTTTCCTGTAATAGAGAGTTGTTTCTCTGCCGTTAGCACAATTAGCATCGCCAAGTCATTCTGCCTGGCTTTGATTGGTTGTTTCTGACCAGGCGGTGTATTTCTGTTTCCTTATGCAGTAACGACATGGTGAGTTTTAGCGAATATGTAAAAAAAATAAAATAAAAAAAATGCCAGTCCATCCATCCATCCCTCCCTGCGACAGACTGGCGACCTGTCCAGGGTGTACCCCGCCTCTCGCCCGTAACATTAGCTGGAAAAATGCCAGTGGGATTAGATATTTACCTGGTTTAATTACTTAATAATGCTTGCCTTATTTTTTTTCCCCCATTCATGCAATAATACAAAAACAAGCCACTCACTCGAAGGCTCTTCTAAAGAAACGACACACACAGACTTATGATTTTTATTAAAGAAAAATACGCAGTAGGGGGTCTCTTCAGAACAGGCAACAGCACAACTCAAAGCATGACATTCAAATCACAGCTGCTCAATAATTTATTAAAGGTGGTTACAATGCTGATCAAATATTGAAACCCGTGTGTTGGTGGCAGGTTGTCGAGCTAAAACTGGAAGAGTGAAGAAACAAGCGGTGAGTTTCCTTCACAAACATCAGGATTTGGACAGAAAATCTTCCTCTTTTGACTGGCAGCTGCATCGGATGTAACATAAAATAAAGATGTTAAAATTATTCACAATGGTTTATCAGTCTGAATAATGAGAGATAGAAAGTTATCTACACCAACCAATTAGCAAAACAATCCAACCTGCAAGTTATGAGGTGGGAGATTGAAACGTGGAGATGTGATTTTCATGGAGAACGCGTTATTTAAATATTTTGTATTGTAGAGAGAAGAATCTTCTCAGAGTGAAGATGTTTTTGTTTTCCTTATTGAACTCAAACTTAACGGAAAATAAAAAGCGACACCGGAGTGAGGTGAGGCAGTAAAAAACAAAAAAAAAAAAACACTGTTGCAGCTCTACTTGGTGATTGTTCCCATACATTTAATGTAAACCCTCAACAAACACAAGACTTCAAGGTAGAATCACAATGTTCAACAAAACACATTTCAGAAAAAAAAGCTAAATTAATGATGGAGACAACATAAGCTTTACTGATAATCCATAATAGTTTGTGGATTATTGCAGTTTATCCCCTTAGTGGCCATAACGAACAGATTATTATTACAAAATAAACCCATCTTTTGATTTTCTACAGGTCTTAAATGATCCTTCAAAGTGCTTTAAGCAACTAAAGTACAGGTGTGTCTCAATCAATTAATCTTAAGATTATTCTTAAATCATTTTAAAATTCCGGAAGTCAGACTCTTACTCTGCAGGTCCAACACATGTCAGCTGATTATTTCAGGCATTTATTTGTAATTTTGATAATTATGTCTCGCAGCTCATGAAAACCCAAAAATTCAGTTTCTGAGAAAAATCTCAATTTTTTTTAAAATACAGAAATAATTTGAGGAGATTCAAGACATGACACAGACCAAAGCAATTGGTCTGTGTCCCAAATAAATTGCAAAATTACATTTTAAAAAAATTACATTTTGCAATTTATTTAGGAATTGAGATTTGTAGTGTGGAGGACAGAGTGGAAATGCCCAAAATCAAAGATGCTTCAGGAAAGGGTGGAAAGTTTCCACAGTTGGTGACGATTTGAGGTTTTATGAAGTGTAATGTCAGTGCAAAAATGAAAAAAATATATATGTATATATATATATATATATATATATATATGAAAAGTTACTTATTGCAGCTTTAAAGCAACCCAGTCTTCCTCAGCAGAACCACAATCTGATTGAACCAACCAAATACTGAGTTCATTTCCTGTCTGATCCATGGATCTACTTTTTAGTAGTCAGACATTTCTATCAAAATACACTTTGAAAGCTTCAATGCCGATAGAAACTGAATTTGCGGTTTTCATAGCTGCAAGCTTTAATTAACCGAACTTAATCAAACCTTTTGAAGGTTTCTCTAGTTTATTAAGATGCACAAGCTAGCATCGTGACGTTAAGTACTGCTATTAATCTCTCCGCGTTCGTCCGGTCGATGTATATAAAAAACAATATTTGACTTCTGATTCATCAATGGTCTCGTGCTCCCACTGAGGCTGCAGAATCTGCTGTACAACACGAGAAAGAGCGGCACGCTACGGCGGAGCGCACGACAAACAGGCAGCAGGAGCTCGCGCGCGCGTTTACAGTTACGGAGTCACGTGACGAGTTCACACCGTCGACACGGAGTTCACGTTGAACACTGACGAAAGAAAGCGGTCTGTTCAAGACTTCCATTAAACCACCGAACCGAACCGAACGATGCAACTTCTACAATGAGCCGAGACACCGAGGGGGGGGAGACATATAGACAAACATGTCCGTTACATGTTAGTAGTGTCTCTCCTTTAATACAAATGGCTGCTGAGACAAGTTGGAGGGTGACTGCGTCTCCGCATGGAGAGAGAGAGAGAGAGAGGTGTAGGTTTAAAACAAATACCTTAGGGTGAAATTGCCCCCGTGCTACTATCTTTAACTTTAAGTAGAATTTGTAAAAATAAATACAGCACTACTTCAAGGGGCAACTTCACCTCGGCAGCAAGAGAGGAAGAGGGAGGAGGTAGTAGGGGTCAGAGGGCGCCCTCTCTCTGCTCCGCTCCGCTCAGCTCAGCTCAGCGTCTGAATTCTCTCCAGCAGCTCCGGTTTGAGGAGGGCGGCGGAGATCTTCCCGCCTGCAGCGGCAATGTCCGCCTGCACGGCTGCATCCCAGGCAAACGTGAGCAGTGCAGCGGGAACCTGGAAGAAAAATAACAATGACGTTTATAAGACATCTCTCCTACTTGTCTTTTTTTCCCCTCTTCAAGTTGCCTTATTTAATAACAAGAGCAAACAAGACGATGAATTAGTTACAAAACTTACAAAAATGAGTTCATACTCCTTCAACTTCCTCATATTTGTGACGTTACAACCACAGACTTAAATTGATTTTATTGGGATTTTATGTTAAAAGCTAACACAGCATAATTGTGCAGGATACATGGTTTTAATTTGCTTTTTCCCCCCCAAGTAAAACCTGCTAATATTTTTTTTTTTTTAGCTCTCAGTACTTTGATACCCCTAAATAAAATCCAGCACAAACAATAGCATTCAAATTTACCCAAACAAAACTTGCAGTTTCTTACAATGTTCAAATTTAGAAAAGTCACACCTTTTCTAAGCACAACTTTGCACCACGTTGTGCTGGTGAGGTATTACTACTAGAACTACAGAGGTCCCGTCTGATAAAGCTGGTTTGAAGTTCAAACTTAACTAATTTTTAACTCGCTGGTCAAATAAACCAGAGTGATATAAATCCAGTCAAGTAGCACAGAGCGCATTTAGCTTTTGTTTCTCTTTGTTAAAATGAGCTGAGGGAAAATCAGACTGACACATTTCCATTAATCAATTAATTTATTTTCATAATTCAAATTAGCACAATTATATGGTCAATGGAAATGCGTACAGTTTTAGCAAATACATGAAAAAAAAACATTTACTTAAAAAGGTACACACTGCAGCTTTAAGTGTGCTTAGCATCGCTTGTTTCCAACGCGAACTTCTAACTCACCAAGTTACATTCGACCAGAGTGACCTCCTCAGACTCCTGCAGCTTTTGCCCTCCGGGGGCGATGAGCTCAAACGGCTGCCAGCCGTCCACCAGAGACTCCCGGACGAATTCAAAGAGCGCCGGCAGACGATCCCAGGCGTAAAACGTGGCTGGAAAAGACGTCACACACACACCGCACAATTCAGTTCAGCTCGAATTAAAAAAAAAAACAAAAAAAAAAAACAACTTTTTTTATCCTAAAGGGAAATTAAATGCTGTAACTCTTTATGTCTGTCAGTGCAGCCACTAACACTAAGCTGTTCACTGAGGCCTGGCTGCTGCTGACCTTGCAGCAGGTTCCCATCAGGCAGTCTGACTCTGAGCAGGGTGTAGTTGTATTTCCTCCTCTCCCTCTGCTCCTCCTTCTCCCTCATGGCTTTTGTGCGAAGCATGGCGTTCTTCTCCACCAGTTCAGTTCTAGGAAAAACAAGCAGTGGAACCTAGCACCTTTTACACAAATACTAAGGAACTGTTGACTTAAAACAAGCTCCTATTTCTTGCTGAAAAGTTACTTGTAAGTCAGTTTTGTTGTATTCGCACCAGAAACGAGACCCAAAAAATACATGGAAAGGTTTTGTGTTTTTTTTTTGCAGTGACGTCACCTCTGCTGCTGCTCCTTCTTCAGTTCCTCTGCCGACAGGTTGTAGAACTCGGGCGGCAGCTCGAAGCGCTGCGCGTTGGGAGACGGTCGGAAAGCCTGAGGCTGCCGGTCCAGCTGGGCTCTGACCGGCTCTCCCCTCTGGAGGCGGTCCCTCCGCTCCTTCATCAGCTCCAGGGCGTCGTCGCTCTGCTCCGGCAACACCAGGAACTCCTCTTCCTCCTCTGATCCCCGTCAAACGTAAACACGGGTTACAAAATGTAGACACCGAATAAGCGTTGCTGTTCTACAAGTTGAATTTTTAAAAGGCTTTTGGTTTTATTTTAGGGAATCAGAGTATAAGAAGGGTGAATGTGAAAACACTTCTTTTTTTTTTTTTTTGGAAAACTCTACATCAGTTTTTCATTCCACTTCACTCAAACTGACCATTTTGTGTTAGTCTAACACATAAAATACATGTCTGTGGTTGAAACCTAAAAGCCATGAAGATTTTTTTTAACGGACTGGGATGAAAACAGCAGGAGAAATTCACCTTGGCCCTCCACAGGAAGCATAACACTTATAAAGCCCAAAGCCTGCAGAAACTCCCGACTGCCCTCCACAGGACGAACTTTTTCCTGTAACACATTGAGAAGTAATTTTTAAAATGTTTAAAAATTATTTTAATTCACATTGAGAAGTAATTTTTAAAATGTTTAAAAATTATTAAAACATTTTTTTTTCACATTTTCCTAGCTCTGAACGTTGGCTTTGAGCTCACCTGGAACACCTTGTTGCTAACTTTTATCTTTCTGTATTTCTCCTCTGATGGATTCTTACATATATTGTCAACATACCTGTAAAAAAAAAAAAAAAAAAAAAGTCAGCTCAAATAAGCTTTTAAAAACATATATAAGGTAAAAGAGAGGCTGATTTGTGAGGAAGTAGCAGAAAAAAATGGATAAGGTAAAATATGAAATATAATATATTAAAGATTTACTTGCTGATGATGTCCACAGCTGCCTTCACTTTCTCTCTGTCTTTGTTAAATGTGTGGACCATCATGACAGAAGCCTCGATGTCATCCTCCTCAAAGCGCTGAGGGTAAAAACACACAGCGTGTTTCGCCAACAACACCAGCAGGATTACATCTAATCTCGTTCTGAATCACCTTATTATGCTTGGAAAAACTTCAGGCATATTTGTGCTTTCAAAGAGTCGAGGCTACGTACCATCAGAATGGCCTCTTTAATGTGCACCTCCCTCTCACTCTTGGTTAACGTGGCTCCGGTCAGAGGGCAGGTGAAGTAAACGCCGGACACAGAGAGGCAGGCCGGGTCTTTCACTTTGGACCCCTGGAACAGAAATGACTGTCAATAACTGCAGCTACTTTTCTGCTCATTAAATAAAGTGTTAAAACCAAGAAGAACGCGCTACAAGCCTGGACGTACCTCAGCCGTCACTGCATTGTCCTTCTCAGCCAGAGCCGCCGCCTCCGCCTCCAGCTCTCTTTTAACTGTGAAGCAAAGAAAACTGGTATTATTGAAAGACTAAACAAAACCTAAGCATTTCAGTGTTTGCTTTAGTGTACAGTAGCTGTGCACAGTTCAGTCAACTCTGTGAGATGTGTGTGCCGCAAGTTCTCATCATAATTCAGACTCTAGACTGCTGCTAAATAACAGCAGCTCTTCTCATAATATGTTTATATTTGCATCTTCTGCAGGTTTTTACAACAGGTTTTGTGCGTCATGGATTATCTCCACATTTTCATGTCAAAATCTACAGAGTTCTCAGTAAATTTCATGATAGTTGCTAAGGGATAAATTAAAAAAAACAACAAAAAAAAAACTACTTTTTAAATATGGATGTTGCAAAATAAAATAAAAATAAACTAGAAAGTGGGTTGGATGAATGGATGGATGGATGGATGGATGGAAATAAAAATGGATAGATGTAAAAGAACATATAAATGGAGAGAAGTATAGTGGGAAGAATCCAGAATAAATTCATGGTGTGACAGTAGGACGGATGAACAGATTGGCAGATGAAAGAACAGAGAGGTGGAGAGACACAGATGGACCATTAGATGGCTGGAAGAATAGATGAAAGGCTGGAGGGGATAGTATGATACAAAGTCTTTTTCCTAACAGACATTTAAGAATAACCACATATGAATTTTATTCCTATCAAATCTTTTAATTGTAAGCAGAGGATGCAGTGAGCAGCTGGCAGGATTGCTGGAATTAACTTTATTTTTGTTCTAAAAAGGAATTGCATTATTTGTTTAAATGTATCTCTATTGCTGTATAAAAAAAAAGGTTTAAGTGGCAACATTAAAAAAAATCCCATCAATGCGACAATGTTTGTATTTGGTTAATCATCAGAATAATAAATACAATCATCTATTTTCTAAAATAATAATTAGTTGCAGCTCTACTGTATTAACCAAAGCGGTACTCGGGAGCTGGGTTCAGGTGAGTCTGGGTTCAGGTCTGTGCGTTTCTCACCCTGGTTCCTGATGGCGTCCTGGGAGGTGTGCACCTTGGGCCGGTGCTTCTGCTCGATCCGGGCCAGGGCCGCGGCCCCTGCCATCTGCGCTCCTTCGCTGGGCGCATGCCGACTCTGCTTGGTGCTGGAGCCGCTCGGCGCAACCGCAGGCTTGCTGCTGTGAAGCGATCACCAACATGTCATGAGTTCAGGTCAGACCTCCATGAGTTATAACACGTAACTAAGTTAATTACAACACAGATAGCACTGTTTCGTATTTAGTTATCAGGTGGCTTCTTTATTTAGCGATCTAAGCTTGTTGATGGATTATCTGCTGGTCAAAGTTAGCTGGGCGTTTCCCGCCGTCTTTGCATTACATTATTTATCTACTCACAGATAATAAAAAAGCTGCACATGAAAGCAAACATATGATCTTTTTTTGATTTTTTTTTATCAATAGTTAGCGCCGCAGAAAGCAATAAATCGTTATATTTGCCTTTCATCTTCCGTTAACTTCTTCCCGGGTCCTGCAGATTTAAATTTCATGTCCTTTTTAATGTCGTCAAAGAACTTCTTCATCTTCTGTCAATTAAAGAAAAAAACATCAGAAATAAAATAACAGCTCTACAGAGCAGCAAGCTACACTTTAGCTAGGAGATGGAAAACCAAAACAAAATTCATAAAAAAAACCTGCTTCCGCCTCAAGAAATAAATACGTCGCCCCCTTGTGGTGGGGATTGACCTAACTCTTAAAGAGAAAACCACGAAATCAACTGGCGGTACCGTGGAAGTACATTAAGCTAAATAAAAGCTATTTTTGAAGGTCAAATAAAACAAACAAACTAAAAATTTTATAGCTTCTTTTCGATATTTGTTTCAGATGGAACTTTCAAACCTTTCTTCCCCGGTTCCTCTTCCTCATTCTTGTTATCAGATATCTTGTTTTGTATTTGAAACAGAGTGACGTTGCTCTGTCTGTTCATTGGAATATGCTTTCAAACTCCTATTTCACAATTTGTTTTGGTAAAACGACAAACTTCAAGACATTTTACTGAAAATTACATGTGACAGACCAACATGCAGTACTTTGTATTGTGAAGGAGAAGAAAAAGGATTCCTCTAAATTCTTTACATGGAAAAATCTGAAAAGCAATGGTGAAAAACTAAACTAGCTCTCTGCACTCTGACACCCCAAAATGAAAATAATCAAATTATTCTATTAGACATCACAAAAGGGGCACAAAATTGAACTTCTATATATACTTCTACTTCACAATAATGCACTACATTACTTTGTTGTGGTCAATTACAGAATTTGCCATTAAATATGTGGACTTTTGTGGTCGTAGTATGAGCTAAAGGACATTAAAACTTTTGAAACATTAGATATTAGACTGTGGTTCACAAGTGTGACCTTTTCTTTTTTTTTATTCCACTTTAATGTCTGACCGACAACAGCTCTTGTGTAACGTAATAAACATTTGATCAAATTTAAAGAAAAAACAACATCACGTTTACCGACACTTCATGAATAAAGTTATAACACTGTTGGGAGCCTGGGAGCAATTCGTCTGGCCAAG